GTCTTCATAACTTTTTCATTTTGAGAATTTTCAACTCTGTGTCTTTTATTTTTCTTATCATGCTCATGCTTCCCTATGCATTGGTGGATATAGTGAGTATATTAATAATGCTGATTAATTCTCCTTATCTTCTAACTCTTTTTTAAAAGATTTATTCATTTATGCATATAAGAACTGGGTACAGGCCAGAGCTGAGGGGGGTGAGAGGATTCACCAGAGACAGAGTGGGGAGTAGAACAGGCAGATCTGTGCTGAGGGTAGCAGCGGGGAGACAGGAGAGGTCTGCTGTGCCATGTGGGTAGCTCCCTGGCCTGGGATTGAATTCATGCTGCAATGGCTGCCAATAGCTTCACAGTGCTGTGCTTAACCCCTTGCACCACCAGGGAGGCCCCATCTACTATTTCTTATAATCTGCTTCACTTCTGGGTTTTCTGGGTTTGTCTCCCCACAAAGTTTGGCCACCTTGGTCTCTAGAATCAGTTTTCAAATCAGAGAAGCAACCAGGTTCTGCGTGATTGCCCTTTCCTGGGCCATGCCTGGAAACTCCCCAGACTCTGAGCCTGGCTAACCAGAGGGTTTACTCTGATGTCCCTTTTCTTAGAGATTGCAGTTCTGTACAATCTATGTCTACTGTCTGATAATCATTGTTTCATATATTTTGGTTTTGATTTTCATTGGCTTATTTTTTAATTGTAGAAAAGTAAATCTCTCCTGGACGGAAACTGAAGTCCAATCATAGATATTTGATTCCATAGCAAACATATAAGCTCTCAGTGACCTGCATGGCATTTATTCTACGGGCAAAGAAAGTGAACTAAAGCTTCTAAAAATTACAGAGAAGTACACCAGGAGTGGGGATAGCTGAGTTCATAATTTAATTTCTCATCAAATTATACTGTCATTTCCCAGGCAATTTCCTGAAAAGATAAAAGCAGATCAAAGGTTCTTAGTGTTTTCAAAAAGTTCACTGTATTACTATCATTATTTTCAATTTGGCTACAATGAGTGTCTTACTGGCAGCTCTGAGAAGCAGGACCTGCCTCGTGTCATGTCACCAACACCCAGGCAGAGGGCTGAGGCCGAGACTTCATCAGTGTTGATTCACCGAATGGATCCAATTCCAGCTAAAATCAAGGGCGCCACATTTAGATGTGTAGACAGTCTTATTGTGGGAAATAGTCTACTCTCACTAAGTGTAAACGTTTATGAGCCTAACATTTAAATAGTATCAGCCTTTGCCTTGATAGTAAATGGTATCATCGCACAGCAGAAGCAAGGGGACTTTGCAGAGCGATCACCACTGGGAATAGTGCGCCATCTTCTTTATCATCAACCAGGGAAATGTGCAGGTCCCAGGGACGCCAAACAAAGGAACTGTTTCTCATTCTGTCTGAAATATTTCCAGAGCATGCTGATTTCTCCTCCAGATACTTGGACAAGATCTCATTACCCCCTTGATTAATGTCACCTAATGTAATTTAGAGATGACTCCACCAAGCATGAAGTCACTGAGCACCGTGGGCCCCTAGGTAACTGTCAAACAAGGACAGGACTCAGGACCCAGCGCCCCTGCAGACATCATTCATCTGGAAGCTGAACAGAGGTGCCCATACATCACCCAAGGGTCCCTATAGAAGTGGCCAGCTCTCCACTTTTGTTCAGATGAGTGACCCCAGTACGTGCAAGATGCTTTAACTGACACTGTTCCTGTGGACCCAAATCCAGTCCATCAGCTCCTGTTATTCATTGGGACTATATCATGGCTAGTGTCAATTGCAGCACAAATATACCATGTAAAATCCCATTTGAAGTTAGTTCTTCTGCCTAATTTATCCATATATACCCATGGGAGTATTACTCACGTTGACCACTTTTTCTTTTTTGCTTCCCCAAATATAATTTGAAAACAAAATTTCAAATTTCAGCCACTAAAACCTTGTGCTCTATTTTAGTTGGTTTTGACCCAAACTGGGGAAGTAGGATGGTCACAGTGAAAACAAAGGCATTAACAAATAGAGCAAACCTGGTATAAAATAGAAATACTCTCGATCGCTTCTTAGCTGGTGACTCTGAGAAGATTAATTTCCCTTATATGTGAGTTGGAATATTTTTGACATCAGACAATCAGTATAAAGGCAATAAGTACTTTGAATGTATCTGGGTCAAAGCAGATTCTCAATGATCAGCTGATGTATATTGTAGTGATAATGATGATGATAACACTTGTTCCATGTAAGTAATCCTTTCCTCCTTAAATTCACTGAGTCTTTTTTCAGCATTATTTTTTTTAAGATTTATTTTATTTTATTTTTTTATTTATAGAAGAGCTGGGGTACAGGCCAGAGTCGCGGGAGGGTGAGAGGATTCACCAGAGACAGAGTGGGGAGCAGAACAGGCAAATTGACTAAAAGCACTGCTGAGGGGAGCAGCGGGTGAGACAGGAGAGGTCTGCCTCACCATGTGGGATTCTCCCTGGCCGGCCAGGAATCGAACCCACGCTGTGGAGGCTGCAGACAGCTTCACAGCGCTGCGCTCAACCCACTGTGCCACCGGCAGAGGCTCATTTTCAGCATTATTTTATGAACTATTTCAGGTGTGAAAAAAGCTGGTAAGACCTACCATGGAAATCTGCATATCTACCCCTGGGTTCAATCATATTTTTACATATCAATCTCACTATCTATCCCTCTGTGTGATAACGGTAACTGGGTTCTCCTGCTCCTTTAATTTGCATCCATTTTTTTAAATCTTTTTCTCTTATGTGCTCTGATGGACTGAACAGAAAACTGTTCAGTCTACCATTGACACCAAGGCTAAAGGACTAACTTGGCCTCAAACTCAAAAGCAAAAGAGAGAAGGATACAGAGGAAGGAGGTACCTGGGGAGGGGGGCAGGGGGAGCCAACAGAAATTGCAAACCCAGTTGTCTAAAGAAAAGCCCATTCATACTGCACGTATGTAGCGCTCCAGGACTTGTGAACTGCAGCCAAGCCCACCTTTCTTTACTCCTAACCTATCTTTCAGCCAAGGAAACTTAACTCCTTTGTTCTCAACCTTGATTCCCAAAGCCAACCTCACTTCCTTTCTTATTAGGGGAGGTAGATTTGAGTTTATCTCCTTCGTCCTTGCCAATCAATTCACCAATAAAGATCTTTCCTCAAATATCTGATGTCAGTATCTGATCTGTCCATCAGGTAAAGACTTGGTGGATCAGAAACACCATCTATCTGGGCCTTCATGTCAATGCTGGATTTCAGAAAGCCTCCTATTTCAGACATGGGGAGTGGAGTGTTGTAATATCACCTCCGATGGGCAGTCACAGAGCCAGCTGGAGAAAGCCCCTCAATGAGCCCCATGGGTCTTGGTTTTCTAGTAGTGAAGTGAGGGCAGGGAACTCTAAGAGATATTTAACTACAGTAGTGATTAATGCAGGCAATTTTAGATTATCAACTCAAGTAAGGCGACTATACTCTAACTTTCCGTGGGAATACTCAAATTTCCTTGGTATTTTTTTCTGGCATGAATCTCAATTCTCTAGTAATTATAATATACAGATTACATTTTAGTCAACTAGGAAAAGATAGCTTTTCATCCACCCTATTCTCTTTTCTCTATCCCTTTGACCCTTCCTTCTTAAGCTCTGAAACCTCGCTTTATGAGTATCCACTACTTTTTAAAAATATTTTCTTTGGTCTAATTTTAACTCTCTGCTTTCTAAATACCCAGTGTTTTATCTTTGCCATTCTCACTCACTTTACCACACATAATTCCCTTCTATTTTTCTGAAAATGACAGCATTTCATCTTTCTTTACAACTGAATAGTTGAAAGTTCCATTGTGTGGATATACCACAGCTTCTGAATTCTGTCCTATTCAGTGGGCACTTAGATTGCTTCCATGTCCTCGCCATTCTAACTATTCTACAATAAACACTGCAGCACATACAAGGTTTTGAGCTGGTGGTTTCATATCCTTTGGATAAATATCCATAAGTAAGGTTGCTGAGTCATACTGTCTTTCCATTTTTAATTTTATAAGGTAAATCCAGGCCTGTTTCTAAAGTGGCTGTAAAGGTTACTTTTGTTGAGTGTTACTATATGCTAGACACAGCTTTTCATGCAAATAAAATGTCCAGTCCCACTGTCCAGTGGTTGGAACATGCTGGACTTTGAAACTTGGTTGGTCTAAATGTAAAAATCTCTGGTCTAAAGCATTTCACATAGGCCTTTAGGGATAGCATGAACTCTTTGCTTACGTGGGGAGTTAGAAGGTATACATTAATGATTATTACTGCTAATGCTAAACCACTACCCTTAGAGACTCCTCAGCATCCTTTAAATGGCAAAGCTTGCTTCTTCTGTGGAGCCACAAAGTAGCTGCATTTCCTTCTAAGCAGAGGTTAACCGGGGTCTGGACTCTAATAAATAAGGCCACAGCTGCCTCCCACAGGAAAACCCTGCTGATTTTACTGGAACTTTCATGTTTACCTACTGTGCTGTCAAGGTCTTGAATAAGTAGCCCAGCATCTTTGTCAAATTTCATCTCTGACCACATGATTTCTTTCTCCCAGCTGTCCACCCATTGCAAATCAGCATCAGTTCTATGTGATGCACATTTATTACACATCCTGTATCAGGATAGGGACCAGGAATGCAAAGATGAATATATAACATGCATGTCCTTATGAAAAGATAATTCTACAATAAAAGGTAAAATTGTGGCTACCATATAGATATAAAGTTAACATTTGTCAGAGATTTTATTTAACTTGTTAATCAGGGAATGCTGCTAAAATGTTATAATCAGTTCAAAGGGGGAAGCCAACAATCTACAAATGATATGAAATGAAAGAATGTTGAGATGAAATTGCAAATGGGGCCAAACTGCCTTCTCTGATGGTAGGGAAGAAACCTCCTTCCTCTAGGTAGAAATCATTTGCATATCTATACAATTCTAGAAAGTGCTAGAATGGCTTACCATTATTATTAGTTTTATACTTACCACCTTATAACATAGTTGACAGATGATGAAAAGTTAAAATTAGATTATCCGGACAGATATGTAATAGCAGCCATGGATTTCAACTGAAGTACATGTTTTTCTTCCCACATCTAAGAAAAAAAAAAAAGATATTAACGTATATTGAGTACATGAGCTAAACATTACAAAATCCTAGCCATCTGGGAAGACTAGTTAGCAGGATATAAATTTATGATTAAAGTATGGCTTAGAGAAATATTCAAAGTCTCTGCTGATGAGCTGGCAGTGGGATTTATTTATATTTATATCTAATGATTCCAAAGGCAACTTTTCACTTATGGGATTCAGGCTCACAAGGAAAATAAGGCTGTGATGTGTGAAGAGCAGTCACGGGCTGTGTGTTATTTCAGACGTGTGTTTGCACAAGGGCAGCACAGGGAAATTATCCAACGACACTTCCTCCCTTCCTTGACCAACATATCACATAGATGTAAAGGCTAATACTTTCCTAAAAACTGTATGTTTTGAAGTTCAAATTCCTCATTAGTTCACCTAAATTTCCAATTATTTTTTGGAAGATAGCAATGAAATTCAGAGCAGAGACAATGACTTTCTTGCATCACCTGCCTAGATAACTTCATCTACCCATTATCCTTGTCACTATACATTTTCTTCCAGTCACTTATGCTTTAACAACACCTAAGAATCCTCTCTCAGAATCATGTTTGAGGTTTTTTCAATAATCATTTTGCTTTGGAATAATTTTAGATTAAGAGAAACATTGAAAAGTCAGTATGTAACAGGGGGGTCCCCAGGAAAGGGGGAGGCTCCATGTTTCCTGTCCCACCCAAGGGAGGGTGGAGCTGAGCAGGGAGAGAAGAAGCTGCAGAGGAGACTGAGGAAGGAAGGAAGCAGGATGGAGCCAGAAGGAGACCTGGAGGAGGCACATGGAGCCGAGAGACACGTGAAGAAACGGTGCTTGCCTTTTAGTCGTGGGCTTGTTATAGGGCAGCCCCAATACAAAACGGGTTGCCTGTCTGTGGACAAAGCCTGTATGGGAATAGTTCAGAACATCCTTTCCCCCTAACAGACTGGGTGACACAGATGTGGGTGAGACCCTTGGGGAGCTGACAGTGGCGGTTTTTATCTTGATCTTGATTTTGCTCTTTTCCCTCCAGACTCGTCCGGTTGTTTCTGATGCTTTTCTGTGGGTTCCCACTGGAAGGTGCTTTAGTCTTCTGGTAGGCTTTGGGGCCTTGTTCTGGGCCAGTCCTGCTTGGGTGGACTTTTACCCACGAGGGGAAGGGTAACTGGGTGCTTGATTTAGAAACTATATTCTTTGCCTATCCTGTATTGTTTCCTAATTGTATTGAAGTTCCTTTCCATTAAAGACTCATAATATTTTGTATTGATGGAGCAGATGGCAGAACCTATTTAGAGCAGGCAGGTTTGTAGGGTCTGGGGTGCCCCTCTCACTGCCCAGTAATAAGTATACTGAGTTCCCATACATCTTCATCTCAGCTCCCCCAATACTAATGTCCTAAAATACTAAGGTACATTTGTCATCACTAAAAAAAGGGATATTGGTAGTTTCTATCGACCAAACTCCAGGCTTTGTTTGGATTTCACCAGTTTTTCTATTTTTCTAGTGGCTTCTTTCTGTTCCAGAATCTGTCCCAGGGACCACTTTGCATCCTCACCTCCCAGTCCCCTGCAGCTGTGACCATTTTGAACATTTCGAGGAGTTCTGGCAAGGTGACCTCTAGAAGGTCCTCCAAACTGGGTTGGTCTGTTGTTTTTCTGTTTGATTAGACTGAGGACTAATTTTTTTTGGAAAGATCCCCCCCTCCAGGAGGCGTCTCTGTTGTCACAGCCTCTGGAGACTGTGCGGGATACAGGATGCGCTCCTGATGTCACAGGTGACATTAACAGTCATCGCACTGAAATTGCTCAGAATGTTAGTGACTCTTTCCGCATCTTGTTTGGAAATTTCAACACAAGGATGAGCGCATAACCTTTATGAGGTGTATCTGGTCTTCTGCTCTGTAATCCGGAGTCCCCATGGTGTGTGAGTCAGAGGCCAGGCACGCTGCACTGTCAATATTCTTCTCCAAACAGGAAAGGACAAGAAAACCACCAGCCCTATTAAAGGGTGCTTGGTTTATCCCCGTGCAAGTCAGAGCAGGAGGAACTCCAGCTTCCAGTCACCCACAGGGAAGCTCCAGCTCGCCCCTTCCACAAGCCCCATAAAATGAGAACATGTGTCCTGGCACATGAGCAGTCTCATTGCAATGACCTAAGGTGCCAGGGAGAGAGATGCAGAGATAGCTAGCGGTGCAGTGTCTCCCAGGTCTCTCAGACTCATCCAGCTTTATATTTGTAGTGTTGGCAAAAGTCTCTATTGCCCTCTTTTCAAGGATAACAGGATCACACCTCAGACATCCCCACCTCTGTAGGTTACACAGCAAAGGTGTTTCTTAAAATACCTACACTGTACTAAACACAGCAAACTTTCTCTTTCTCTTTAAGGATGATTTTCCCCTTCATTTATATAGCTTGTACCCAGGCATCTTTCTTTATAGAGAGGCCAGATTTTAAGAGTAAAAACCTGTGCTTGCGTGGATCGTTTCATGCACAACAACACACTCATCCAAAGGGATGAGTGTGGAAGGGGACAAGGAACAGAAAAAGGGGGAATATTTCTTTTATGCATGGTGCAAAATAGCCTATCCTACTTGCTTGTGAAAGAAACAGCAAAGGAAGCCGTCTGCTCCATTGCGGAAGGCACTTGTTAGGGTAAGCTACAGTGAGTTTGTCTGCAGATTGAGTGGCTCCTGTACCAGCTTCTCAGGACGAAAGCTCTGGGTAAGGGGTGCCCTCCAGGCATGCAAGTGACGAGGATCCTCTGCCAGGAAGGACGCCTTCCCTAAAGGACACATTTTCCAGTGGTGTCTACAAACAGACTTCTGCTGTCTGCAATTTTTTTTGGAAGCCTTGCACAGAGAGAACCATATAACTAAATCTTAAAGCCAAAAAGCACTAACTGGTTGAATTTCATTTCAGTGAGAAATTGATTGAAAAGGAATTGTCAAAGTACTCCTTCGCAGATTTTTGTAATTTTTCAAATCAATCTCTTTGGGTTCAAGTATATTAAATATGTTATTATTTGATGTGGGCCCTACTAGTTTTACTGTAACTCTTAAAAAAATTAGGTAGTATATTCGACTTACAATAAAGTACACATATTAACGTGTACTATTCAGTAAGTTGTGACTTGTTTATACATCCATGAAATCATTACCACCATCAAGACATATTCATTTACCCACTAGCAGACATACTAACCCCCAGAGACTCCTAGAAAACAGCATTTAAGGAGAAAGAACTTAAAATTTCTCAGCGATGTTAGGGCCCATCGAAATGGGGAAACATGACTCAGAAATCTTACACTTTCAACTAAGTGATCAAGATGAAACTTTTCATTAGTAACATCTGCACCTATCAGGAAAACCATTTTTAGGGAACTGAATTTTTAAGATTTTTATCAGAGTAGGGGCCTCCCTGGCAGTGCAAGGGATTAAGTCTCAGCACTATGAAGCTATCCGCAGCCACTGCAATAGGACTGGCCAAGGAGCTGACTCACACGGTGCAGCAGACCTCTCCTGTCTTGCCTGCTGCTCCCTTCAGCATATTTCAGTGGATCCACCTGTTCTGCTCCCCACTCTGTCTCTGGTGAAGCCTCTCATACCCTTCCTATATCCCAGCTCTCCTATGTATAAATAATAAAAAGTCTTAAAAAATAACAACAACAACAAAGTCATCCATCTAAGTATCCATGCATCTATCTGGGCTCTATTCAATATTTTATCAATCTTAATTTAGTTTCTTTTATTTTTTTTTAAAGATTTATTTATTTATTTATTTATTTATACAAGCACTGGGTACAGTCAGAAACACGGGAGGGTGAGAGAATTCACCAGAGCCAGAACGGGGAACAGAGCAGGTAGACTGACGAAATACACTGCTGAGGGGAGCAATAGGCACTGCAGGAGAGGTCTGCGCGCCATTTGGGACCCTCACCAGATGGCCGGGGATCGAACCGGTGCTACAGAGGCTGTGGGCAGCTTCGCAGCCCAGCGCTCAACTGCTGCGCCACCAGAGGAGGCCCTAGTTTCTTTTATTTTTGCTGTTATTTTTTTTTTTTCTGTTTTCATTGATTCCCCCCTTTTGAACTTGATTATTTGCTTTCTTCTAATTACTTTGAGTTTAATATGCTCTTATCCCCTGGATCCTTAAGGCAGAAACTTACATCACTGACTTGAGAAATGTGCTCTAATAGAAAAGTTTATTACTATAAATATGATTGAGTGGCGATACTCAAATATAGCCATATTTACTATAAATATGACCATCTGTTGTTTTAGAGTGTTTGGAATTTTTTAATAAGTCCTATTTTCATTTTATTTTGCCATTCAAAATTATTCCTTCCTTTGATGTCTTCTTTGGCATACAGACTACTTAGACTTGTGTTATTTGGTGTTCATATTTTAGAAATTTTCAAGAGATGTTTATATTTTCAAATTCTAATTTAATTCTGAATTTTTCACAGAACATTGTTTTCATGATCTCAATATTTTTAAATGTATTGAAACCTGTTTTCTGGCCCACTGTATCTTCAAAATGTTCTGAGTGTAGTTGAAATGAATATGAATTCCGATGTTGTGAGTGAATTGTTCAGTATAAGTCCAGTTGTTGATCGTTTTGTCCTACTTTCTTATATTCTTAGTGATTTTATAAGTGCTTATTCTATCATTTATGGAGGGAGAGGTATATAAAATTCTTTATTATTTGTGAGTTTGTCTCATCTTGCAGTTTCAGTAGATTTTATTCAATTTTAAAGCAGTTAGGTGCCTAAGCATTTCAGATTTGTTTTGTCTTCTTGATTAATGGGTATTTTTACTATGAGGAAAGCACCTTGGGCCCTCCCTGGTGGTTTAAGGTTAAGTCTCTGAGCTATCACCATGTGGCCTGAGTACCATCCCCAGCCAGGGAGCTGACCCACAAAAGGTCCAGCAGACCTCTCCTGTCTCACCCTCTGCTCCCCTCAGCAGTATATCTCAGTAGATCCACC